GGGCTGTTGTATATAGAGTTGCTATGAGTCGCAAGCGACTCCATGGCACATAACAACAACAACAACCATTAAGGATTATCAAACTATTAGAAAACAATAGAAATCATTGACTCCTTCTACCATGCTCTCCTTGGCACTCCTAGGTGAGTCTCAAAGTCTTCCTGTCCCATGATCTGCCAGGTTTGTGAGATCACACCAAGTTACATCTATTCACCCTTTTAAATTCAATTTAGTCTATCTCTGTTTTAATGAAAAACTGAAGGAGACTTGTTAAACATCTGTTAAACAGTTTTTGTAAAAAAAAAAAAAAGTCCTGTGGCCATCATACAGTCACTGTACTTCTTATTTCCTAGATGCACACCCTGCCCCTCCATATCACTCCCCATATTTTAACATCTCAAGAACGCACCTTACTGTTGACAGGTCTTAAAATTAATTGATAGAATTTTCTTCACTTTCTTAGAAGTCACTGAGCTAATGGCACCTTCTTGTTGTGTGCTGCTGAATTGGAACTGACCCATAGCTCACCCTCTGGTGGATTTTCAGAGGCAATTAATCACATGGGAGGAGACTGCCCATCTTTCTTTGCAAAGCACCTGACAGATTTGAATCTTGTGCCTTGGGGATTGCATTGCAGCTAAGACACCAGAGCTCCTGAAATACACCCTTATTGAATCCTCTCACTTGAAGACTAACCTTAAAAAAATCCAGATTATATATGGCACTGAACTTTCAAATGAGGTCAAGGTCCATGCACCATGGGAAGTCAACCTTTAACTTCTCAGAGATAGATATTAGTCAATCTTTAACTTCCATGTGATCAACTGAAGCATTAAGAGAAATGCCATAGTCTATGGAAAATGAAAGTTTATCAACTCCATTGAAACTTAGTGACCTACAGTTCAAGACAATTAGTCTTCTCTGCAAAACAGAGATAATTAGGGTTCAAAATATAATACTTTTCAACTCCTCGGTGCTTCACAATCTGGACACTGCCTGTGAGGAGGCATATGACGAGAGCAGGGTTTATTCTTCTTGTGGTTTACTCTGTTCTGAACGAAGCACAGTGTCAGCAAAGCCTTTTCTGCAAGCCTCTTATCATCTCTGGAAATTATGTGATGTATAAATCAGAAAATTAGTAATTTGCCATATGTCAAAATGAACTGTGAGGAGACACAGGCCTAGAGCAAGGGACTGCTAGGCTGGCCTCCTACCCAGCCACAAAGCCTGTTCCTGGAGGCGCTCCCTATGTAAAGTACAAGGTTTGATCAGACCAATGGTAGGCTCCCTATCAGCTCTCAACTCTACAGACTGCTGCCTTCAGTGTGGGGCTACTTATATAATTTGCTTTTTATCACACAAACGGAATAAATTGGCATTCTCTCATGAAAGAGAAGCCTACTGTGGAGCTAGGGTCTGATCCCTAGGTTGTTGTTTCTTGGTTTACTGTTTGGAATGAAGCAAGAGAAAGAAAACTGGGGCTGGTTTGAATGAGATTTTCAAATACAGCAAAATGGAACATATGGCTTTAAAAAACCAGAAGAATAAACAAATGGCCCACACGCTTACTTATTGCTTTAAATGTCCATGGAGGACCAGACCAAAGTGCACTCTAAAAAGAGCAGTTCCTAGTGCCTATGCTAATGGAATTCACCAAACTGAGTAAGGTACTGGAAAATTGTCAGAACCATTATACAAGTGTATTTACCATAATAAGCACAGCTTATGGATGGCATATACATTTTCTTTTAAAAAAATTCAATAACAAATGAATGGATTGAGAAATTGTGGTACACAGACACGATGGACTACTATGTAGCACTCAGGAACAATGGTTTTTGAAAAATACTACATAGTATGGGAGAGACTGGAGAGTATTATGCTGAGTGAACTAATTCAGTCTCATAAGGACAAATACTGCATAAGATCATTACTACAAAAATAACTAGTAAGATGTGCATAAAAGTCCAAGGGAGGAAGGGGAGGGAGCCAGAAGGCTGAGGGTGAGCAGGAGGGAAACCACGGGGTCATAGAGTTTGTTGGGAGGAGGGAGGGGGTGAAGAAATTAAGAAAGACTCAGCGGGGACTTGAAAAGACAAGGGTAATGGTGGGCACAGATCAATGGGGATTCATTTTATAAAACACAATTTATAAAAATGATCATATGATGAAATCAGTGAAGTGGGGGAACGACAGCCTTTTTAACAAATGGTGTTGGCAAAATTGGAAAAATATCTGCAAAAGACTCAAGCAAGACCCACACCTCACTCCATACACAAAAACCAACTCAAGGTGGATCATGGACCTAGGACTAAAACCAAGGACTATAAAATTCATTACAGAAAAGCTAGGAACAACACTAGAAGTCCTAATCCACAACATAAACAGTCTTCCCAGTATCCTGGAAAACCTACAACCAGGAGAAGATAACATAGATGAATGGGACCTTCTAAGACTCAAATCCCTATGCACATCCAAAAACTTCTCCAGTAGGGTAAAAAGGGAAGCCACTGACTGGGAAAAAGTATTCGGTAATATCATATCAGATAAGGGACTTATATCCAGAATTTATGAAATACTTGAGCACCACAACAAGATAAAGGTAAATAATCCAATAGAAAAATGGGCACAGGATATGAACAGGCACTTCACCGAAGACGACATTCAGATGGCTAACAAACACATGAAAAAATGCTCAAAATCCCTAGCCCTAAGAGAGATGCAAATTAAAACAACTATGAGATATCATTTCACAGTTCAAGACAATTAGTCTTCTCTGCAAAACAGAGATAATTAGGGTTCAAAATATAATACTTTTCAACTCCTCGGTGCTTCACAATCTGGACACTGCCTGTGAGGAGGCATATGACGAGAGCAGGGTTTATTCTTCTTGTGGTTTACTCTGTTCTGAACGAAGCACAGTGTCAGCAAAGCCTTTTCTGCAAGCCTCTTATCATCTCTGGAAATTATGTGATGTATAAATGCCCATCAACAAACGAATGGCTAGAGAAGCTGTGGTATATTCGCACAATGGAATACTATGCTGCATTAAAAAACAAGGAACTCATACAATATTATTCAAAATGGTTGACTCTGGAGAACATTATGCTGAGTGAAATATCCCAGTCACAAAAGGACAAATATTACATGATGCCACTGTTGTAGAATGGGACTGTCCTTGGGGTTGGGGAGAGACTGAGTAAGATGGGTTCAATAATGTATACTGCACTGAAACAGAGGAGGGAGAAAACTGTTTAAAAGAGATATGTGACTAGGTATTTCTGTCATCACAGGAGTCTAGAGCGATGGCTACATGGTGGAGGGGACCTGGGGGAGGGTTTGTAAAACAATGAAAGAATCTTTTCTTTTACTTTTCCATAATTTTTGACTCATGTACTTATAACTTGTTAGTCAAAGTTGTGTCTTCTAGGTTGCAACACCCCCATGATACATCTTCAAGGATATGAACATGTACGGCCAAGCACAATCAATAAGAGTGCATCTAAATTCCAAAATCAATCTCCATAATAGTCTATGTGTTTCCTACTGCCTTTAGAGTAGTGAGAGAAGATCTTCACCCTGAAACCCACAGCGTCCCTTTTCAGCAGGAAGTAGCTAAGAGAATACGCCATCCCCTTTTCCTTATGACTCAGGGTGAAGTCTCTCTCAGGGAGGAGTGATAGGGAATGGCAAAGGACACACTGACAAAGAAGATTAATCAGAACAAGCACTGTGGCATTTGGACAAGAACAAACTGGGAGGAGGGTAGAGAGAATAGTGCAACAATGAATGAATGGAAACCCAAAATCTCTGTAAATGTTTATGAAAATTAATAAAATATAGAAAGAAAAAAAAACAAAAACAAAAACAAATGATCATATGAAACACAACGTGAACAAAGGAATGTGTGAAACAATTATTAATTCATGTAAACCAATATAAAAAAATTTTTAAAAAATGAACATTCATACAGAAACCAATTTCTAAAATAAATAAAAAAAACAACCCAAACCAACAACCAAAATATTCTTGCTATAAATGACATGACCAGCAAAATTACTTTTCTAGGACAAGGAAGGAGAAGTGAATTGATTTTTCTAAATAATTTTTCTTGGTGATCTGTAACTTGAATCCAGCCAGGGCTGGATTATTTCTGAACCTTTCAATTTTTCTACTGTTACTATCTTTTGTATCTTGCATGTAATAAAGTGGACTCATTCTCTCTATATTCTCTATCAGAGTTTAAGACCACCATTAATTTCCCTTGTACTAGGCTAGACACCTTGATCTTTTAGCCCCTCCTTTACAAGGCTCCTCCAGCCCCACCCCACATCCAAAGTAATCTAATCAATCACTAAGATCCATGTGCCTGTCAGAAAAACTACCAGAATCTGACTTGTCCACAGCCTTGAGTTCATATCCTCTCCCTCATCTCCACGTGACCACAATTGTCTCCACTTCAGTCCAACCTCCCCCTGCCTAATTTTCTCAAAGCCATATCTGCTCAGCTCACTCTCTCCTGCTTCTCCTCATGGCTTTTGGGGAATAAAAACATTTGACAGGGCATAATACGCCTTTTTTACCACCTTCATACCTGACCTTATCTCCTATGCTTGTTTTGTCATTTCTGAGGCCATTTTGTCCAGAGTACCCTTGTTCCTTCGCAGTTTGTCAAATTCTTATTGGGTTTTGCAAGCCCCAGCTCAACAGTACAGTGTCAGCAAAGCCTTTTCTACAATCCTCTTAACCTGCACTTTGATCAGAACTGGGTCAGCCTTTATCATGTTTCTACTTTGTGGCACAAAGTGGGCATGCAAACGTTTGCTGGACATACTTATTAAGCAAATACTCTGTGCAAAAAGAATATTCATTTCTGGAAATTATGTGATGTATAAATCAGAAACCTAATAACTGGCTATATGTCAAAATGAACTCCTCCTCCTCCCTGGTCTCTTTGTTTTGTTTACTCATACAGAACTGATAATTTTTTTTTTTTTTACCTCTTCAGGCAACACCTCTTGCTCTTCTGCTTGGAGGTAAATCTCTTGAAGTTTTTCCTTTATTAATTCCATTTCTACTTCATTTACTTGGCTCTCACTCAAGTAAATTCCTGTTTCACATTCAAACCCATCTCGCTGATCTTCCTCAGGGATATGAACAGCCCAGTCAGATGTCAACAGCTGTTAGATTATCAAACAAATATATGAGCTGACTGAATGCAAGAAATATTCCAGTGCATTACTCAAAGAATTTATAATGAAACTTTATTAACTGGATCTATTTCATACTATCCTGTGATCACGTCTCAGCACAGTACAAGTCCAGATTTCATATAAAAAAATGGACACATTCTTTCTCTTATTTATAACCTAATGCTTAGTTTTAGGTCTAACAAACTTCAAATTCTAAAGGAATCACTGTATCATTTCATATGATTTTTACCTGCTCTATTCTGGAGTATATTGACACAATTTCTGGGATATGCCTGAATTCACTCAGGAAATTCTGGATTTTCATCTGAAAATCTCGAAGCCACATAGAAGACACTTTCATCTCTGAAGAGTGCATGATCTCATTACGACACTTAATCACCTACAGAAAGATAAAAAGTTAACAGGCTTCCATGTCAATCAATGGTATACAGGCTGAAGGTTTGTGGTTCCAAAGAAATGCTTTAGGAAGGCTTTGTTAACTACAAAATGCCCAAGTGTGGTCCTCAGAGGACAAAAACTAAACTGTAATATTCTTGGGATCATATGCATAATCTGATGTGAAGCTGTACCATGGTGGAGGATGCCAGCCTCCAACTCAGACTATTCATCCTAAGGGTACATATAAAAAGTCAAGTCCTCCTGCAACCACAAACTGAAATGTCTTCAAGAATTCAAGGGAGACAATAAAGATTCTTCATGGTGGGGTTGGGAAAACGGCAAAGCGGATACCTTGTTGAAAGGGGCAGCAGCTACTCATGGTTTCTTCCCAGAGGAGCTGTATGACTGCAATGCCTGATCTCTCAAGAGTAGCTGAAAATTCCTATTTTTACGACAACTAAAAAATTTTTTTAAAATTATTTATTTATTTAAAGAACATAACTCAAAGCCACATTTTGGGCCCAGGATTCTAGAACTTAAATGTGGCGACTAGGCAATAGTTGTTGTGAGGTGCTGTCAAGTAGAGCATGTCTCAGAGCAACGCTATATACAATGGATTTGAACCTTGTCCTGTCTTGTGTCATCCTCATCATCTCTTGATCCCATTCTTTTTTTTTTTTGAAAGTTACTTCATTTAAATTTTATTTTGAATAGCATCAATCAAAAAAGATTTCCTAAGGTTATTTACAATGTTAAATGTATAATTATGAATATATGCCTTTCTGACAACAGGGTACCATTCTTGAGCAGCAATATGCTTTTAAAAATATAAAGATGCATCATCATTTTTGATATAAAGGTACTTAAAAAAACCCAAGGTCTTAGGGAATTAACAAATCATAACAGAAAACTGTTGTTTTATTAATTTAATGTGTACATAATTACCAATTTTAATACATTAAAAATAGGTGTAAAGGGAGGTCTGGTGGCCTAGTGGCAAGGAACTGCAACTACAATCCCCGAGGCGCACGGTTCGAACCCACCAGATGCTCTGCCGGGGAAGGAGGGACAATCTCCTCCTGTACCAGTCAGATCTGATTTGACAGTACACGCACACACAAAAATTAAAAAAAAAAAAAAACAAAAAAAAAATAGGTGTAAATGCCCACAGACTGTACAAAAATTAACACCCCACTTATTTATTAAAAGTTTCTAACCACCTCCCACCATAAATATACAAAAACAAAACAAAAACCAACTATGTTTAGATAGGTTAAATTGCATGCATGCATGAAATTTTTGAAGTATTATTGTCACTGTATCAATCCATCTCATTGACAGTATTCCTCTCTCAATTATCCTCCATCTTGACAAGCACAATGCCCCTTTCCAAGAAATAGCCTCTCCTAGCAACCTGTTCAAAGTAAGACAAAGTTTCTCCATCCTTGCCTCTAAGGAACACTCTTGGCTGCACTTTTCCAAAACATCTCTGTTTATTCTTTTGGCAGTCCATTTCCCCCTTCCTAATCACCTAAGGTGGTGATGCCCCAGCAATCCAGAAAAACATGGTTACCTGCAGGTATTGTGAAGGCTTGATGGTATGCTCAAACTTGTACCACTTAACACTTAAATAATTTAATCAGGGTTAGAAATTTAAATATACCTATACTTATTCTTTTTTTTTAATTTTAAAAATAATTTTAATGAACATTTACAGAGATTTTGGATTTCCATTCATTCATTGCTGCACTTCTCTCCCTGCCCAGCCCTCCCCCTCCCCATACTTATTCTTACAGTAGCATAACAAAATGTGCAAAGAGCTGGAATTGGAAAGCCAAAAGGGAAGAATATATCTGGCATATCTCAAGCTCAAACAATATAAGAACAAATTCAAGTCTTGATTTGCATAGTGAGGGAGCCAAATATACAAAATATTGAATGAAGCAGGAAGCATCAAAAGAAGGTGGAAGGTATATACAGGGTCACTTTACTAGACAGAATTGGTTGACACTGAAACATTTCAAGAAGTAGCCTAAGATCAAGAGCCAATGGTGATAAAGGAAGAAGTTCAAGCTGCACTGAAGGCACTGACCAAAAAATAAGGTCCCAGGAACTGATGGAATACTAACTGACATGTTTTAATAAATAGATGTAGTCTTGGATGTGCTTACTAGTCTATGCCAAGAAATGTGGAAAGTGGTTATTTGGTAACAGACTGGAAGAGATTCGTATTTATTCCCCTTTCAAAAAAAGGTGATCCAACAGAATGTGGAAATTATCGGATAATATCATTAGTATCACATGCAAGTAAAATACTGCTGAAGATCATTCAAGAATGGCTGGAACAGCACATTGATAGGGAACTGCCTGAAATTCAAGCTGGATTCAAAAGAGACCTGTGGCACGAGGGATATCATTGCTGATTCCGTTTTGAGGGGCTAAAAAGCAGACAATACCAGAAAGATGTTTATATGTGTTTTATTGCCTACAGAAAGGCAAGTGATGGTGCCAATCATAACAAATTATGGCTAATATTAAGAAAAATGGGAATCCCAGTACATTAATTGTGATCATGTGAAACCTATATCAACAAGCTGTTGTCTGAAGAGAGCAAAGGAACACTGTATGGTTTAAAGTTGAGAGATGTGCATCAAGGTTGTATCCTTTCTCTGTATCTACTTAATCTGCATGCTAAGCAAATACTTAGAGCAGCTGGATGCTATGAAGAAAAATGTGGTTATCAGAATAGGAGGAAGACTCATCAACAACTTGCACTATGCAGATCACACAACCTTCCTTGCTGAAAGTGAGGAGGACTTGAAACACTTGCTGTAGAAGTTCTAAGACTACATGCAGCTTTCAATACAGAACATATCTCATCAAGACAAAAATCTTCTTCACTGGGCAGACAGGCAAGATCATGATATATGGACAAAAGATTGATGTTTTCAACCATTTCATTTTACTTGAATCCGCCATCAACAAACAAAAAAACAAAAGACATATTTCAATGGGGAAATCCACTGTTGAGGACCTCTCCAAAGTGCTAAGGACAAGGATGTCAGGGTAAAGAGTAAGGTGAGCTTGATCGAAGCCATGGTATTTTCAATTGTTTCCTACCCATCTGAAAGTTGGACAGTGGATCAGGATGACAGAAGAATTGCTATCTTTGAATCTATGGCATTAGAGAAGGATACTGAATATCCCATGGATGGCCAAAAGAACAAGTCTGCCTTGGAGGGAAGTGCAATCTGGGAGTTATTTAGAGGCAAGGATGGTATGAAACTCTACCTCACACACTTGGGGCATGTTATTGGGAGGGGGTCGGTCCTTGGAAAAAGACATCATGCTTGGAAAGGTAGAGGGTTGGCACAGGGAAGGAAGACCCTCAAGGAGGTGGATTGACACAGTGATTGAAGCAATGGGCTCAAACATGTTGTGAAGAGGGTGAAGGATAGTGCAAAGTTTATAGATTTGTTGTTCACAGGGTCACTAGGAGTCACAGTTGATTGACTCAGTGGCACCTAACAACAACAATTATAGATCTCCTTGTTGTTGTTGTTGTTATGTGCTGTCGAGTCGTTTGCAACTCACAGCGACCCTAGGTACAACAGCCCTAATCCCTGCTCTATCCTGTGCCAAAGGCACTGCCTCTGACACACCCATCCCAATTACCCCAATCACCAAATCAATCCACATCATAGAGGGTCTCCTGCGCTGTCCCTCCACCCTCCCAAGCATGATGTCCCTCTCCAAGGACCTGTACCTCCTTACAACATGTCCAAAGTATATCAGACGAAGCCCCAGAATCCTTGCCTCCATGGCGTAGCCGGGTTTAACCCTCTCCAAGATGAATCTGTTTGTTTTCTTGGCAGTCCATGGTACATTCAATACTCTTCTCCAGCACCACAGCTCAAGAAGGCATCAATTCTCCTTCTATCCTCCCTAGTCATTGTCCAACACTCTAATCTCCTTAGCTCCTTCAATTTTGTGGCCAGCTGCCTATCCCTTATATTTACCTTGATCTCTTAGCCTAAAATACCACATCAAAGAACAAAGAATACCAGCTCTGGGACAGCTACATGCTGAAGCAGTAACGCAAAAATCTTGTCTCTGGGAAACTGAGCTAAAGGGATATTTTCAGCATAAATACTATAATGAAGGGAGCCCTGGTGGCCTAGTGGCAAGAAGCTGCGCTGCAATCCAGAAGGTGGGTAATTCTAATCCACCAGATGCTCTGCTGGAGAAGGAGGGGCAATCTCCTCCTGTGCCAGTCGGATTCAATTTGATGGCACACAACAAGAATAAAAAAAAAGAAAATTAAAAGAATGTCAACTTCTGTCAAAATTGAAAACAAATGAGACCATCTTATCATATATTAATAAATATGTAAAGACCTCAATAATTAAGAAACAACTTTTGTAAAAATAATACCAAAGGGGCCAGCCAATGACAGTGATATGCTTCTGTTGATGTCATAAAGGCCTCAGACCTGGTGCATGCGTGGAAGCTGGGACACCCCACTCAGCAGGAGCGTGCAGCGGAGGACCACATGAAAAGAGGGAAGTCCAGTGGCTGATGCTGCTGCTGCTGCTGCCGCCGCTGCCACGCCACCACCACCGCCAAGATTTGTCACCAGAAGAAAGATGGAGGATCTGAAGGAGCATTCATCTGATGAAGAAAAGGTGTGTATAGTAGCAAAATTTATCATTCATGCCCCCCCGGGAGAATTTAATGAGGTGTTTAATGATGTCCGGCTACTGCTCAACAATGATAATCTTCTCAAGCAAAGTGCAGCCCGTATATTTGCACAGTATAACTTGGACCAGTTCACGCCTGTAAAGATTGATGGTTATGACGATCAGGTATTGATAACTGAACACGGTGACTTGGGAAATGGAAAATTTTTGGATCCAAAAAACAGACTATCCTTTACATTTGATCACCTAAGAAAGGAAGTAACTGATCCAAGACCCTACAAAGCAGAAAATACCATTGAATCATGGAGAACTTCCATAGAAATTGCTCTTCAGGCTTATGTAAAACAGTATTACCCAAATGGGGTCTGCACAGTGTATGGTAAAAAAATATATGGACAGCAAACCATTATTGCATGCATAGAAAGCCATCAGTTCCAAGCAAGAAACTTCTGGAATGGCCGTTGGAGGTCAGAATGGAAATTTACAATCACTCCTTCAACCACTCAAGTGGTTGGCATCCTGAAAATTCAGGTTCATTATTATGAAAATGGTAATATTCAGTTAGTGAGTCGTAAAGACATACAAGATTCCTTAACAATGTCTAATGAGGTGCAAACAGCTAAAGAATTTATAAAGATCGTAGAAGCTGCAGAAAATTACTATGAGGCTGCCATTGGTGAGAATTATCAGACCATGTCGCACACTACTTTCAAAGCCTTACGTCGACAGTTGCCTGTTACTCACTCAAAGATTGATTGGGCCAAGATGATTAACTACAAGATTGGCAAAGAAAGGAACATCTACAAGATGAAGGTTGCAATAACTGGATCAATTTAGTGTCTTCTGGGTTTATTAAAAAGACAAAAGTCTTGCAAAAGTATTCAGTTGCCCAGTCTGATGAGTTGTTGCCATTTCAATCATTGTAATTAATTAGTTTGGTTAGAGCACAAAGCTTAGCTAATCAACCATTATTTTTCATTGCTGTTGTTCAGAGAGGACTGAAAATCAGCTTAGTTTAAGCATCTTTTAATTTCTGTTAAACTTTCTTCAGAGAAAGAGATGATTTATCTAGCTTAAGGTTAAAAAATTTTTTAACTATTTCTAAACTCTTTTACCTACCGTAACCAGGAAGTTATTGTCTTTTTGTCTTATGAAGTGGGTAACTTTTGGTATTTGCCCAGTGATTTTTCATGGGGTCAATAATGGATATCGTAGTTTAAGGTGGTTAATGGATTTAGTCTTTATGCTGCTAAAGACATTTTCTACCTTTCCCCCTCCCTTTCCCATGTATTTAAGATTGAGATTTAGAGGGAAAACATTTTCTATATCAATTGTGTTTAAACCTAACAAAAAGTTTATTTAGCTAGGTTTAATGTTTAAACTTTTTCTAAACAAGACCAAGGTTTAATACTATTGAAATTCTGAAATTCAATGAAAATACTTGTTTCAGAAATGCACTTAATATTTTTTCTTGTGAGTTATGCAAATTAGTTTCAATATCATATGTCCTTGAGTTATTTTTATCATAAAGCCACAAATTTATTATAACAAGGCAAATTGGAATATATATATATATATATACACACACACACACACACACACATATATATATATTCCTAAAAAAAATTCAATAGCTGGTAAAGTAAAAACTAAAGTTGATTCTGATTCACAGCAGCCTTATAGGACAGGGGAGAACTGCTCCACAAGGGCTCCAAGGCTATCATCTTTTTGGAGGTAAACTGCTGCATCTCTTTTGCAGTGGAGTGGTTGGTGGGTCTGAGTTGCCAACCTTTCAGTTCAGTGCTTAACCACTGCAACACAAAGGCTCCTTTTCAACAGCTGGCACTGTGGCAAACCATACATCCACTATTTCTACATTCTATAAATAATCACTCTTTTTCATGACCTGCAGAGCACTCACTGGTTAAAACTAATCTCTGGTGAAACAGAGTTTTCACAATCAACCAGAGAAGATCTGACTCTGACAAGCAGCGTGGTCTATCCTGACCAAAAACACCAGTAAGTGTTTTTCTTTAAGTGCAGTTCCATCTAATTTGGCTTTGTCAGCAGTTTGGTTACTAACACTTAGAAGGGAAAATTTTCTTAGCATCTTTTTGTGGTGGAACAGGGATCTGGAACTGAAGGTTCCAAATGGTTTTGTAGCAAAGAGCATAAAGATGAGTTGTGAGAAAATGAGCTAAAGGGCTGGAATCATTGCACTGGCACAGAGCTTCTTGACCATCGCCCCCTGCCAAGTTCTGCCAACCTTGAACCATCGAGTTTAACTCCCTTTGTTCAACACTGTTTGGGAAGACTCTGGTAACTATTTTTGCATGGCTGACTTAGCTCCACAGAACATGCCCCACTGCTGGTGTTCATTTCCTACCTTACTCTCTTTTAAAAATAGAATATAACTAAACTAGTTGCTGACAAATTAATCCCATCTTGTGGTGGCCCCATATGTGTTACAGAAGAACTTCACAGGGATTTTTTATGGCTGGGGTCATTTGGAAGGTGGCGGCGATCAAGCCTTCTCTCATTAGATGCGTCTACATGTGGCAGTTCTTACCTCTATGACCTTCTTTCTATCAATTATGAAGTGATCGCAAGAGTTGATGAGACTTAAAAGAGCAACTGCATCACACTCTTCGGGTCCTCTTTTGTCTGCAAGTCCTCGGGGCATGAAGGCCTGTGGCAGGGATAAGCACAAAGGGTCCCTGAGTCTCCATCCACTCTAGGAGCTGATAGGGCAAATACTACTAGCATATTCACTCAGATGATATGTTGGAAAATGCAAGTGAAACAACAATGTCACAGCTAAGTCCTGCTCAAAAGGAATAACCCAAGAGTTGTTCTAGCTGTCCATGTTTAATTTTAGTGAAACCTCCCCCAACTGATTTTTTTGTATTGTCGTAATGGAATATAAGCAGCAAGTTTGGGCACAAAGCACTTTCATTTCCCTTACTCATGTTTTGGTGACTTAAAAAAAGTTTCTAAAAGTAAAAAAAAAAAATAAGACAGTTGTGGAGTAAATGACTTGAGAAATGTCAGTATAGCAGTATAAAGTAGAGCTTGGAGTCTGAGTGAGCTGGGCAATTGTTAATCCTCAGACACTCATCAGTAAGCCAGGGATAGCTGTCCTTCCCCTGCCTTGAAGGATGCTGTGAGAATTAAGTGATCAAATGGAGGCAACGTACTCACACAGAGCCTTGCATGTATTAATACACATGTTAACAAATGCCATTAAGTATTGTGCTGATGGGATAGGGTTAAGTAGGGTTGCAGATTTACAGATGAAATTCCACCTTGAGAGACCAGATACATCTACTTTCTCACTTATTGACTATCTCATTATCTGACATCTCACATTTATAACAATTGTAGAAACTCTAGTATCCAGCTGTTTTGCACATTAATAATGTGTGTCTGGCAGTAATAAATGTTGAGGCATGAGGCAAAAGTAATGCTTGCTGTGATGGCTACAATTATGTGTTAACTTGGCTGGTCATGATTTTCGGTGATTTGGCAGTTATGTAATGATATAATCTGGCAGTCAGGTAATGAAGTCATCCTCAGTTTCACCATAATGCCAATTTTCATGTAATAAACTGATTCTTTGGAGCCTAACCATGTTGGTAAGTGAGGAGTGGGTATATATCAGAAGGGTCTCATTCTACCATCATCTTCCCTTTGTTGTTAGGTATCGCTGAGTAAGACTCATAGGGACCCTATACAACTGCCAACAACCTTGTCCTATCCTGTGCCATCTTCATCTGACACTAGAGTCCACTGCTGAAGTCACCTTGTCAATTCATCTCGCTGGGGGTCTTCCTTTTCTTCACTGACCCTCCATCTTTCTGAGCATGATGTCCCTTTCTAAGGATAGCCTTGCCTAGCTACATGTCCAAAGCATGAAAGATGAAGCTTCGCTATTTGTGCTTCCAAGGAGCACTCTAGCTGCACTTTTTTCCAAGACACAATTACTAGTTCTTTTGGCAGTCCACGGGATTGAGTACTCTTCTCCAACACCACATCTCAAAGATATCAATTCTTCTTTTCTCATCTTTACTCATTGTCCAGCTCTCTGCTGCACAGCAGGAACTATTTCCTCAAAAAGGAATAAATCCCAACCAAAATGAAATAAATTCTAGTGGACAAGCAACATGAATGCCTCCTATAGTGTTGCTTATATCAGTATCAGAAAAGGGATGTAGTAAATAGATACATGTTGCTGGTTGTACAATCATACACCTGAACCTCCCGTAATTAATAAGAATTTTGCATACATTAAAAGGTTCCTATCAAAAGGGGTGGATAGCCAGCACCATACCTGGCTGTCATATTAGCCATTAAAATGCCAGCCTTTTAGAAAAAATCTATTATAGATGCTATGTTAACAAAAATTAATTAATTGACCAGAGGTGAAATAAGGCAATTCAAGTGAAGAAATCAAACTGTTTAATCTGGCTACTGCTGTAAGGATAATGCAAAGTTAGATGGGCCTTTGCTGCTTTATAACCAAGGCACAGTCTTTTTCATTATCAAGTACATCCTGGTTGGCACTTTCTCAGTAATAGAAACCTGTCTTATCCACGTTAAGAGTTTGACTTTTCAGAAATAGAAGACAACAGAGAGGCTCTGCTGCTGCCCTGACAGTAAACCATTTTCTTAAAACTGTACTTCCTGACACTGTATTTCATTTAATACATGCTGGTTAGAAGCATACATTGTCTCTCAGCATACACTAAATGAAACTCAGCATACACTAAATGAAACCTACTGCCACAAATTCTGACACACAGTAAGGCAGAGAACTGCTCCATAGGGTTTCCAGGGCTGTGGAATCTTTATGGAAGCAAACTGTGGCATCTTTACTCCAGAGTGGCTTGTAGCTTTGTACTGTCAACATTCTGGCCAGAAGCTGAGTACTTTAACCATGGTGCCAGCAGAGCTCCTTTACCTTACTGCCTCTAGAATTGAAGGAAATGAGGTTGGAGAAATACACCAAATTGGGACTGACTGGTTCTGCAAAGAAGTTTGGAGTTCTTTCTAAGGACTACAGGAACCCAGCCAAGGGATTTTAGGCAAAGGGACAAAATAATCTCCTTCCCATTAGATGATCATACATGCAGAGAGTCAACCAGAGGGGTAGAGCGAAGCGGCACATGGCCAGGTAGGAGAGGGTAAGAGCTGTGACTTGGAGGGAGACACAAGGACAAATGAGAGGGTCGTGAGAGGTACGGAACTATGACAATAACAATTTTAGGGAGTTAGTGGTAGTGCTTGAGAGCAGGGGAAAGACGACAAGTCCTGGTTTAGAAAGAAATATGAACTACTCAGGCAATCAAGAAGTGGACATGGCAAGTAAGCCACTGGATCTGAGGAGAGGTCAGGGCTTAAGTTATAAATTGGGGAGCCCTCAGCAAAAAAGTTTTTGGTAAAACAGTAAGATGAAATGGTTTGAGCTGCAAAAATGGGCTCAAATATAGAAGCGATTTGTAAGGATGACTCAGGATCATAAACAATGATTTAGGTACAATCATTCTATTGTACTTTAAGATGGCTGGGTCAGAATTGACTCATCAGCACCTAACAACACTAAAAAAAGACAGTGTTGGTATTTTCTGCTTTTAGCAAAGACCATCTGACAGCAGGAATGGAATGAAATCTTTTCTGAATCCAGCTAGAATTTCTACTAGCTCCCAGTTGACATACTATTTCAGGCATTTTAAAATAATCTTCAGCAAGATTTTACATATGTATGATATTAACATTGTTTGACAACTTCTGTACTCTGCTGGATCATCTACTTTTTTAACATGAACAAATACTCTCTTCCAGTTGTCTGTCAAATGACTTGGTATACCTGACCCACGCCATGGTATTTTCAATATCTCATTTGCATATGAAAATACGTCAACAAATAGGGCAGACTAAATTTGAGCTGTGGTGTTAGCAAAGAGTATTGACTATACCATGGACATATACATCTGTCTTGGAGGAAGTACAACCAGAGTGTTCCTTAGAGGCAAAAATGGTGAAATATGATCTACTTTGGTAGGAGGAGAGTCTTTGGAAAAACACATCCTGTTTGGAAAAGTTGTTGTTGCTGTTGTTGTTGATTGTGTTTGACTTGAGCAAGATTCATAGCGACCTTATGAACAAAAGGCCTGAAGCCCCTCTACAACTATTGACATTTATCAAAGTTCATGGAGTTTAGAGGCAAGTTTTATTTAAGAAGTGGATGCCACTCCTGTTTCCAAAACTGTCACAGAATGTTATTGGTTCAGTCGCCTACGATGCATAGTACCCCTACGTACAGCAGCTCTGAATCCTTCCCTTTCCTGGGCCAGTCTCATTAATTCTGACACATCAACTCCCATCACCCCAGTTACTGTATCAATCCATCTCAACTAGGGTCTTCCTTTCCTGTGCTGTCCGTCCACTCCTCTGAGCATGTCCTTCTCCAAGGACTAATCTCTCCTGGCCATGTGCCCAAAGTAAGTGAGGTGGAGCTTCAAAATCCTAGCCTCCAAGGAGAGACCTGGTTTCACCCTCTCCAAGACAGACCTATTTGTTTTCTTGGCAGTCCATGGTATGTTCAAGACTCTTCTCTAGCACCACAACACGAAGGCATCTATTCTTCTGTCATCCTTAGTCACTGTCCAACTCTCTGAAGCATAACAAGTAATTGAGAACACCATGGCCTGGATTAGGCACACCTTTGTATCTAGACTGACATCGTTGCTCTTCAGCACTCTGGAAAGGTCCCTGACAGCAGATGTTCCCAATGCAATTAGTCTTTTGATTTCCTGACTGCTGGTGTTAAAAGTGTTGACTGTGGGTCTGAGTAAGCTGTAATTGTTAACAACCTCAATCTCTTCTCCATCTATCATGGTGCTGCCAATTGGCCCAGTGGTGAGAATCTTTGTCTTCTTAATGTTGAACTTCAATCCATATTGAAGACTACAATCCATGACCTTTTGCAGCAAGTATGTCAGGTCTTCGTCATTTTTAGCAAGCAAGGTTGTGTCATCTGCATATCATAGGCTGTTAATGAGTCTCCCTCCAATCTTGATTCCACACTCCTCCTCATAAAGCCTTGCTTCCTTCCTCATAAAGCCCTGCTTCCCAAATGATCTGTTCTGCATACAGATTGAAAGTACTGTTTGGAAAAGTAGAGAGTCCAAAAAAAAAAAGAGAGGAAGACACTCAAGACAGATTGCCACAGTGTTGGTGGTGCAGATAGGGGCCTAGTCATGAGTCAGAGTTGACTCAACAGCATTTAACAGAAGCTGCACGAAGGCCTACTTCAGTTCACAAGCCTGGGTGATACCACCAGAATAGAAAACTGCATTCAGAGAGAGGACAGGCCCAGAAGGGGCAGCGAGAAGAAATCAGGAAGACAAAGGAGAAACCAGGAGAGTAGGACGTCACAAAGCCAGGGGAGTTTCAAGAGAAAAAGAGAGCCAATAGGGTTAGTTGGTTGTCTGTCTCTGAGGTAAGAAAGACCAGAGAACTGAAGATTGCCCATAATCCTGCCAGAAGCAGGTAACAGTGGAGTGGCAGGAGCAGAAGCTGGGGTGCAGTGAGGAAGAAGAGAGAAAAGAAGCAGAGGAGGAAGGTGCAGCTGTGCTGGGATGTGCATAGGCAATAATAGATAAGGGGAGTGAGTTGGAGGGATGGGCCAAGTATTTATTCAAGTGTGGTTGCTCTTTAATTTCACTGAGATATCACACACACAATTTATCCACTTAAGGTGTACAGTGGTTTTTCATTTATCCAGAGTGTACAACCACCACCAGCCAATTCTGGACTATTTCTATCACCTCAAACTGTACTTACTTTACCTGTCTACAACTCATTTCCTGTCCACACTACAACCTCGGCCAACCACTGACATACCGTCTATGGATATGCTTTTTCTGGACATTTTATATAAATGGAATCACATAATATGTAGCCTTTTGTGTACAGCCGCTTCATTTTTTTTTTTTAGTATAATGTGAAAATCCAACCACACTGTGGTATTTATAAGTTTTCATTCCTTTTTAGTGTGACATCCCATTGCATAAATATATCACATTTTTATCTACTCATAGGTGATGGATGTTTGGGTCCCTTCCACTTTTTTCTATGGGGACAGGGTTGAGATGAGCATGTGTCTACAAGTGCTCTTCCTAAGTGTAGACGTAGAAGCAAGAATGCTGAGCAATTCTACATTTAATTCCTTCTTACCTTTTAAAAATGAATCTAGGCAGTAAGAGCTATATGTGTGGCAACGGGAATAAACCAGGTGGGAAGAAGAGTGGATAAATGAAGATTCAAAGATTCCTGGGCAGGTGGGAGAGGGTAAGGTCCAATACAACCTCAGAGGGCCTGGCTGATGGGAGCAGATAACCCTTCTTTTTAGCAGAAGGAAGAAGGTAGTTGACATGGTGGGAGGTTTGTCAAAAAAGATGAGGAATTATGTGTCTGGGGGGCACCCAGCAACTCCACAAAACATGAACAAAGCCACCAGCAAGGAGCAAGACAGGAATGGAAGTGGGAAGGAGGGGGAAGTACACGAAGTGAAACCAGTCAGCTCCTTTGTGAGTCTTTCCCAGAGTAGACGTAAATGATAGGTGTCAGTGGGGCAGTAGCTGGGACAAACAAGTTCAGAGAAAGGAGAGAAGGTATATTAACTGCGAGGGACTGATTTTTAACAATGAACCACGGAATCTGGGCTACCTTAAGGAGCTAAATAAAGCCAGAGGACGGAGGCTGCTGGATATGGAGAACTCTCTCAGTGGATGCCTCAAAGGAGTGGAAGTCGTATGGCTTCAGGGGTTGGGGGGTGCTGAATACATGTACCATCCTGTGATGCCAAGGTCCAGGGCATAAGCACACAAGGAGGCTGAGATGAAGTGGACCAGAGGATGTTTGTGTAAGGAGCCAAGGAAATGACAAGATGGGAAACACAAATACCGGGAGACAGCAATGGGGAGCGGGTATGGGTGGCTTAAGAAGGTGGCATACAGGTTTTCAAAGATGTGAAAGCAGCAGTGGACACAGAATAGGTGTGAGATGGGCATAATAAAAGGTTATGTTGTTGTGTGCCGTGGAGTCAGAACTGACCCATAGACCCATAGCTGACCCTCCAGCAGGTTTTCAGAGGGCGTTAATCCCGGAGCAGCTTGTGGCCTCGCACCCCCGCCTTCAGGATAGCAGTGCAGCTTCTTGCCATTAGGCCACCAGAGCTCCAATATAAAGTATAGTTTTATTTCTTCATTCTTGTTCTATTTTCCTTGTAAGGCGCTCTGGTGGCCTTGTGGTAAGATGCTGCACTGTAATCCCCACAGCCTGAGGTTCGAATCCACCAGCTGCTCCACGGGAGAAGGATGGGCAATTTCCATCTGCCAGAAGGTGAGCTATGGTTTGGTTCTGACTCGACTGTGAACAACAACAATAACAATTTTCATTGTAAAAGTAGAAATTTGCAATTCTGTGGTTGCAACAAAAATGGTGATGGGGGTCTAAGTGTGGTAGCTTACATGTCAAGATATCCACATGTCTGGGGGCCACCAGTAGTGTAAATAACTCATTTAACCACAGGCATTGAGCTGAGATCCTGCCTGCTGACTTCCCAGGCACTGAGCTCATGTCTGCTGTTAACTGACACATAAACTGATGCCAACAGGTAATCTGTATCCAGAAACCAATTCTGACTAACATTAATCCTCCCCTCCCCAAACTGGACTTCTGCCAAACATCAGAAAAGTCCAATCTTTCCTGAACAAACTGGTAAATCACATTGCTAAGATCTGAACACAACCTTCCTATAAGTCTTCTATCTAGCTGCCCAAACCATCTCTGCCTCCCTGAAGTTCTTTTTATTCCTTGGCAGGCACATAGGTTCTTCCTATTTTATCCCTAACTTTCCTTGTCTTCGTCCTCCACATTCTCAGCTCCTCATGTGCCTGCCATAATGAGCTACTGTGAGAACCTCACTTGAAAACTCTTCAAGGTGACTCCCTCTCTGTGCTCAAGCTCTCACTCGACATCTTCCCCCAGCATCTCTTGAAATCCTTATGTCTGGATAAGCAGACGTGATTTTTGTGTGCCTCTGAGTTGGAAATGACTCACAGCAGACCCTCTAGCAGGTTTTCAGAGGCTGTAAATCTCATGGGAGGAGACTACCCACGTTTCTCCTGCAGTGCTACTGGTGGATTCAAAGCCCGCACCTTTGGACTGGCAGCACAACTCCTTTCCACTAAGCCACCAGAGTAAAGGACTCAAATACCTTCAGGCATCAGGTCTACTCTATTAGTGGATGGATTCAATAGCAGAGTCTAGAAACATCTAAGCCGTTCGAAATGAAAATTTAAAAGCCTGTGGGTCAAACAAGACTGGGATCCTCCTTGATCTGCACCTCTCTTTGAGGCCCCCACCTCCATAAGACCACGCCTCCGGGCCCAGGATTTACCTTGGCCACCTCCCAGGCGTCGACGGGCCAGCGCCCCGGCCGGCAGTTTCCCCAGTGGACGTCTCCATTTCTGTTGATGTGATGGTTCAAAATCTCCCTTTTCCACTCGGCACACAACTGACACTGAGGCTGAAACTAGAGGGGGCGGCGTTAAGGAGGGACCCGAGGCGGAGGGAGAGGCAGAAACTTGGAAGCTGCGCGGGGCGGGGAGGATGGCGGGGCGATGAAGGTCCCTGACCAGGTGCTCACCTGGCGGGCGCGCGGGCTACACCGCGAGCCACCACGGCAGGCAGCACCGGGGCCCAGGCCGGGGAAGGCGGCGAGCAGGCCGCGGTGGAAGACGAGCACCTCACGGCTGACGAAGTCTTGCAGGCAGCTGCGAAGCAGCAGAAGGCAGTGGCCTGCTTTCACCCAGTTCTTGTATTCAGCACAGTTGAGGCGCACAGAAAGCTCGGATAGCACCATGACTCTCCGTAGCCCCGGAAGCCTCCAGGGTGTATTGCTGGAAGTACGCATGCGCGCAGGCCTGGGAGCGTTGCTTCTGAGGCGGCGCAGTCCAGCCCAGCGACCGCCCCAACAGGGAGCCACGAGGGCGTCGCGCGGGTGTGGCAGAGAAAACAGCACTTTGTTACTGACACTAGCAGAGGCGGAGCAATTTGCTTTCAAAGGGCACTTGTGCATGTTTCCAGCCTCTGTGCCAGCAGTCTGTGCTGTGCTCAGCCCTTACTTTAAACTTACGTTTAATTCTCTGGCTCCTAAACTGACACTTTGGCAGTCTCCAACACATCCTCCTGATGCCTGGGATTCTCCTTGCTTGCTTCTACAGATGTAGGTGTTCAGGGAATATTGTTGGTTGTTTTTAGGTGCTAGTTGATTGGACTACAGCAACCCTATGAACAGATCTGAACGTTGGCCTATCTAGCCATCCTCACGATATGCTGGAGCCCATTGTTAGTCACTGTGTCAATCAATCCATCTTGCTCAGGGTCCTTCCACCATTCCCAGAATGATGTCCTTTTCCAAGGACATCAACATGCCCAAAGTTAAAAGCCAGGCCATTAGTAAAACTTGACCCAGGTTGCCTGCAGTGTACTTTTTCTGAGGCTGTGGTGTGCTAATCTAGCAAACAGGGTAGCCTGTCTCTTGGTTTCTAAAGGGCTGCAGAGCCCTGAGCCAGATATGGGCTTCATGATTTTCCTGAAGTATCAGGTTACATACTAATTAGTGTTTCTTGTCTTAGAAGACAAAGTGCCACAGGAGTAATAAGGCAATGGGTTGTCAACTCTCAGTGTCAAAGAGCTCATCTCGGTTTTAGCTGTTTTTTAGTGAACCTCTTGGCTTGGAATATATGTTATGCTGTAGAGTCAAAAGGTTCTGAGGGAGGAGTGTGGAGGGCTTGCCACCATCCATTGCTTGGTTCACAGCAGAGCCCCACAGTGGTTAAGAACACCAGTTCTAGACTCAAAGCTGCTTAGCTATATTTGATCTTAAATCTGTAAATCTGTCTTCCTTAGCTCTGCTTGGTTTTAAGCATTTACTTCCTTCACTTCTCTATACCTCAGTATACTCATTGTTACCAAGCTCAAAGTTGTTGTGAGGATTAATACACATCTAAATATAACCAATCATTTCTATTCCTGAGCCAAGTATTTCAACATATGGCCACTTGGAAGTTGAAGCACTTTATTGAAACCTGTGAGCCAGTACTGTGAGCAAGTCCATCATGGTGCTCATGGAGTTGTGCAGCTCAGCCTCTTCTCCTTAGTCACTACGGTAATAAAGCCTTCTTAAGTAAACTTCAAAGCACTCCCATTAAACCAAATGAAAAGGAAAATTGTGCAAGAGACAAATATATCTTTTTCTTTTCCATCCTTCCAATTCTTTGAATAGGAGTTTCCTTAAAAATTTATGTATACTGATTTTCTATCAAGAACACCTGGATAATAAGTATCAAAGTATAATGTAACAGAATTTCAGAGAAAAAACAAATCCCCAAAAAACCAATTTTGATGTTGAAATTAGATTTCGAGGAACAAAATCACATATCTTGAAGGCATGAAATGAACCCTGGTCCAAATGACTGTGACCAAACAGGTTACTGTTCTACACAGTAATAAGTAGACCAGAAAATTAAAAATTATGTCAATTTAGCTTATCTTTACACTTAGCTTATCCTTACACTTAGCTTACTTTTTTAAACATAAAGTTTTGCCCCAGTTATTAATAACTTCCAAGTGATATGCTGAGTTCTCACCTTCTTCCTCTCTGGTAATTCTATATGTATTTCTCTACAATCTGAAATGGCATATAACAGGGGCAAAAGTTGGCAAGTCAGAACCTATTTCTTGTTTCAAGGCTAAATTTCTATAAAACCAACACATCGTCATCAAAATTAACTAGAGAATTGGTAGCCCTCTGAAACTTGTCTAAATTTTATTTAGTATTAATAGCACTAAAAAAAGTTAAGACCCAAACTACTACAGGTAGAAAAATGACTATGGATATCCCATCCCTTTGATTGAACCTGAATAACAAAAGAGTATGATTATGTGATGAAATCTAAGATTCAAATGCTAAATGTTTTCAAGCTTTAATAAGGTATATACCAAGTTCCTATGCCAAGTATGACATCAAAACTCAAATTCATACTTTTAATAAGCATCAAGAGCAAATTCTGTTCACTGGAATCCTTATTTTTTTTGTTTTCACAATGCATTTGGAGATGAGTTATAACAGGGGAAAGTATCCAGTGAATGCATGAAGTAAAAAATGCAATTAACATTTCAAAACCACAAAGGGAAAAATACCTCAAAAGTTAACTCTATTATTAAAATTATGTGAAGCAGTATTATCCTGCAGATAAAAATACACTTCTTGTATATACATGTAGAGTTCTACATGAAAGAACAACAAACAAAAAAGGGCTGATCCTTGATTAAGATTCTTCATTTACCAAAATATTGTCATTACCATTGTAAAGAGAGCTGAAAACACAAGGATATAAGTTAAATGAAGGACAAAAGTGTAGTCACCTGCTCCTGAATGGTAGCAGAGGTGGGTGAGAAACAGATGAAGGCAGAAATAAGACCTAAAAGAAAGTCAAAGAATGTCTCAATCTAACTGAAAATGGAGAATCAAGCAAAATTCAGAACAGACATGACAGAGCTGCAGTGAGATTCTCAACACTAGAATTTGCTGAGGGGTAAGTTACAGAAGCTCAATCAAATCCTCTTAATGTGGAATTAAACAAAGCATCTAAAATTTAATGGAGAATCAATATTATAGTGATCAGCAGTGTTATCATTTTAAAAACTTTGTCCTGTAATGTCAAATCTCCAGATGACCTTTATTTCAGATCACAGTCTTTGAAGCTTACAAGGCTGCTTACTCACTCAGAGAAACAACATGATGCTCCCAAAGAAACCCTGCGAGGTGTGTCAGCACCAGAAACTCCATTTGATCTTGGACTTGTACAGACTAGGCTCTGACCTTGGGGTCTTCAAAATCAGGTCTTTTTCCAAGCAAAATATTCTATCTTTTGTTGACAATGAATTAAATTAGGATTGTTAAGAACAACCCCAATTTTTGGGGGAGGCAAGGGTGGGTAGAAGGGGAGAAGCAAGGAAACACTACAGAAATTTCATGAAAGGTAAAGTTTTAAAGTTCTGTTTCCTAATTAATGCTGGAGGCAGAAGTATCTTGTAAACAAAATTTGCCTTAAAAGAAAAATTCCCACACCCTCAACACATAGGAATGACTGTATTATTTGGGATCTTTGATGAACAGAAATCACTCATCTCTTCAGCCAAATCCTACAATGAAAAGACCACCCATTAAATTTGGTTAAATGCCAACCGTCAGTCAAGGTAAGAATGTTAGAAGAAAATAAATTATCCTTGAAATAAAGGAGGAGATGTTTTTGGTCAAATGTTTGGCATGTTTTGTTAGAATGAATTACAGGCCCCAGTAGGTTAAAGATGAAGGGATGCCCTGAAATATAGAGTTTATACACACACAAGTGTCTTTTTTTTTTTTTATTTTAACCTAGTTTTATTAAATATTGCTTCCTTGGGATCTGTTTATAACAAGTCCCAGAACATTTTCATGTAAGGATTCAAAGCGGTCATATTAAAATACAGCTTCAATATAAAGCTTATCACAGTTTTACAGTATTCAAAAATGACAGACCTGCCTTAAAAAAAAACCAAACAACAATAAAAGAAAACAAAACCAAAAAGGACTATTACACCCAAAACATAAGAAAACAATTAAATAAACAAGTTTGGCATTTTCATAATTTTATAGTATAAAACAGAATATTAACTCTATTACTGGCAAGTCGACACTGATGTATTGTTACCTATTTGGAAATGTGTCCCATTTAAACACACTATACAAGTTAACTATACAAAAGATTGATGATCTTTTTGATGAAAGAAGTGCACCCTGAAATTTTTTTGCCAGTTTAGAATTTTTAGATCTTAAAGTGAAACAAAGTTCTTTTCCTTTTATAAACTGAGGGCTGACTTCAGACTTTTTGTGTGTGTGTTGTCTCATTTGTCAGCCTTCCTGGTTTAAAAACAATAGTGTTTATGGATGCCCACCAGGGGGCAGTGTAAGATTAGCCATTAAATCACGAACAGCTGCAAATATTGTGCATTCACCTGCAACAGAGAAAAATGGTCATTAGCTATTCGCAATACAGGAAAGATGATGTTAACACACTGGTGAAGGGAGGGGGTAATTAAACTGAAAATAAGAACTTTAAAGATTCCATAAAAGACTAATCTTAATTGCCTGTATTACAGTAGACTGAAGCTTTAGTGTTAATTTTCACATGATAATTGGTTTGGCTTGTTTTTTCCTTAGGAAGAAATGTTAGTAATTCTCAGCTTTTTAATTTGAGAAACCTAGAGTTTCTTTATAGAAAAACTACAACACTTCTGAAGTCTTTTGAAGTTGAGTTTTGTGCATAGACAACTTGTCTACGTATTGTAAATCTCACAAAAGAATCAATTTATATTTGTGCATCAATTACATCTTTAGTGGTGTCTTTATAATGTTGATTAAAGGCCAGATGAAAATACCTATGACAGCACTGTCCAACAGGGGATGGTAATGTTCTTTGTGCTGTAGCACCTGAGCTCTTGTAATTTAGCTAGTACAACGGAAGAATGGAACTTTAATCTTTATTTAATTTTAATTAAACTTAAGTAGCCAAATATGGCTAGTGGCTGTCATACTAGATGGTGCAGGTCTATGACATCTATTAGTGTGGTCCCAAATTTCAAGGAAATGGTCAACTTCTGATGCTCAACATTAATGTCAATTAAAGAAACAATTTTTTTTAAAGTGAGTTTTCTTAAAGCACTTCATGGTAAGGAGGAGGTGATGGGTTTGGGGAGAGAAAGGTGGGTGAAACATGGCACAACAAGAAGTCAAGCACAAGATTTGTTTGAAGGCGCTGGTAATTCATCCTCTCAATTTTCCCTTGGCTGAAAGGAAGCCAAATACCACCCTGATTTTATATTTTCTTCTAAATATCACAAATATTTCATTATTATAAACCAAACCAATCATAAAAAGTATAAAGCAAAAGCTGGATCCCTTCACAAGAGCATGCTGAACAACACAGGGGCTAAAAGTGAGAGAAAACTTGAAGATCTCATGTGAATAACGGCCTTCCAACAAAGACCACGATGTGCAGGGACACTGCAAGTCACTGTCACCTTCTCACCAATCATGGGAATATTAAGGCATGGAAAGAAAATGAAATCCAAATGCCCAGTGTAAGGTAAAAATAAAAGAACATCACTCCTCAAATAGTCCAATAATTTCTTAAGTAAAAGAAGAAATTGCATCTGTCTTTAAAATAAAATCTTTTCATTACTTCTGGTAGATATCAAAAGATCAAAATGTTCTTTGCTTTTCATTTTAAATTACATGAAGACTCATTATGCTACTCATCTCCTTGTGAAGGAATGGTGTTTATTACCAAAGTTCTACTGGACTACTACTGAATTCTGATAGCTTTAAACTTTGATTCTGGAGAACCTACTTTTTAGCTGAAAGAAGAGATAAGTCAAAAGATGAAAGCAGAAAATTTTAAGATGTGAAAGAAGTATTGGGACAAAAGAAGCATACCCTTCTCTACTGCCCAGTATATATTCTTCCTAGACTACAATTAGAAACTTACCCATGTATACAATATGGGGCAATAAACAACTAAAAATGGGACCTCACCTGATTCCTGCTTCTTGTAAAATTTTGACATTTTGATAACTAGAAAGGTTTCAGAGAACAACTTCTCCTCATTTCAAAACAATTATTTTGTCAACTTACTCTAAACAGAAAGATATATAGGTTCTCCTTAACATGGAAAAGAAGTAAAATTAAAATGTGATTTTCTTAGAATTAGGAATAAGCAAAAGGTTTCTTTGCTGAGCTTTATGTTTTGTAACCAAAAATTCAGGAGTTAGTTACATGGTAAGTATATGCTACTTAAACAGTGAAGGGACCGTGTTTGTTTTTCCTGTCTGGTTACCTCAGCAATGTTCCGTTTGAGAGCTTCATTGTGCACTTGGTGAAAGGTTCACTTGCACCCGCCTGACAGTTACATAAGAAGCCCAAAAAGCAATGATGCCATTTGTATCAGCTTTTATTCTTCACAAAACACTTAGAAGATACAGAACTTTTGATATTATTCTATTCATGACTGAACCATGAAAGATGAGAAATTAACATGCATTTTAACTTTGTGATATACAGAGTGGCAGGTATCATTAGTAGTGTAGGAATTCACAGCCATGGAAAATTTGCTCATCTTAATCTAAAGCTATCCATGTGCTATAAATACAAGCTTCTGGCATCAGCAACTAGGTCAGTCCCAATAGTAAGATCAGTAACAAAAATAAAGTCCAGGCAGCAGAGAACTGGACAAAACTGAAGAACAATGAGAAAGGAAGAAAGCAACAGGCAGACATTGAGAATTTCACAGCAAGCACAGCTCTATTACTAAGATAGGGTGTGGGTGGGCAGAGGGTGAGAAGAGGGAGGAGCGTCACTCAAAAGAACTTGGATAACATATATGCAATAAAACAGCATCTACGGATCATGTACCTTGTCGTGGTGGATTCATCTCTGCAAACCTCTTTAGAATGTTGCTGACCATCATGGGAGCAGCAACAGAAGAGTTCTGCTGTCTAGGAATGTCTGCCTGCTGCGTTGTACCTGAAGCCATGTCATAAATGATTGGCACTATAATACTAACAGGTTCTTGGGGAGGGACCGATGTTTTCTGAGTTAACTGAAGCTGTGGATATACAATACACACAGAGAGAAGAATACAGTAAGAAAATAAAAACATCCATCTGAATTTATCAAAGGCACTATCACTTAGCTGTACTTTCAGATTAAGATATACCAAGCAAAAAGAAAATGAAATATGACAAACAAAAGTGGCAAGCAACCAAATCATTATTATGGTTAACATGCAACTATGTCACACAATTACTAGTTTAATAAACTTGTTTATCACCAAAGGAATGAGGATTAGATAAAGTCTAAAATGATAACTTAAGGAATCTAGGCCTACATTTGTGCAGTTATCCAAAAGCTGTTCCATCATTCTCATAAGGCTTTTCAGTCAGAAACTCTGAACACACAGACACCAGGTGGTACTTACAAAAAACAGCATTTTGGATTTCAGCACTACAGCAGGTGTCCCAGGAGGTGCTATTGGCGGGGCGCTGGGTGGGATCGTCAAGCAAAATTGAACATTCCATTTTAGCTGTGTTGCCTGGTCAGGGAACTGTTGCATAAAACAAAAAAATAATAAAATCATATGAACATTTAAAATTATATTGCAATTTTATTCTATACCTCATTAATAGGAACGAAATTGGTAAACTGCTTTTATTTCCCCTGCATAAGAAATGTATACATGAACCCTGACTGATAGAAATGTCACCTCTGGATTTATATAGTATGTATTTCTTCCTTCCCTTCAACCTAATTAGTTCCAAGGCCAATGGAATTTTGCTTTCAGGATCTCTGAGATATATTCCCACCTCTTAATTCTCACAGATGCCACCCAAGCTCAGCGTTTCATTACTTCTCCCAATGATCTCTAAAGGTTTCCTTTCAGCTGCTACCCTGCCTCCCTCATCCTTATACCATCACCAGATACATGAATGATTCTGAGCTAGTTCATAATGTTTAATGACAAACACTGTCCCCTCTCCCTCAACTGGAAACTAAGCATTTAAGGTCCCTCTTTTTAAATTTTTTTTTTATTTTAATGAAGGTTTACAAATCAAAGTAAAAAACAAGCTTTGCAGAATGGAGTAATTTTTAAAAGTATATAGGAAGGACATATGCATTTGCTTTCATGAACAAACTGTTTCTGGAAGAATAGGAAAGACACCATAACTCTGTTTACTAAGGGGAAAGGGACAGGCTGGCTAGACAGGGACAGCTGGGCATATTACTCATAGTATCATCTTGTTCTAAACTCAAAAGATATAAAAGAACTGTGTCAACTATTCAAAGACAAATATCATTAAATCTATGAGAAAAACAAAAGACATTATGTAAGTGATCAAAAACCAATAAACATTTCTCCATCAACTCCAATCCCCTCAAACACATCTTTCTAGAGAAGCCTGGCTTTCTCTGTAACTTACCAGCTCTAGTTTCATAATATGCACACAGTCTCTGAGGATGTGTGTAGGTGCTCCTAACAGCTTGGTGAAGGCTATTAATGTATTAGCTTTAAACGGAGGTCCTGCAACCTATAGAGAGAAATAAAATGGAATTACAATTCATTCTATGCTTGGCACTCTTGTTTAATTACCTTAAAATTATGACTTATTAAAAACATACTCTTGTTTCAAAGAATTTCTCTAAGACTTGAAGTTCATCAGGCTTCCACTGTCCTGCATTTTCAGGTGTCACTTTTAGTTGAAGTGTTTGATTGGTCTTGGGACTAAGGGCTACTCTGCATTTCAGTGCATCAGTCTTAAACATGATTACTCCTGGTTCATTAGAATTGATCAGCTGTAGCTGGAAAATAAAAAAGGATACACAAAATGAACATGTATGACAAAGACAATGTTACTCGGGGAAAGGAGAAGTAACTAAACAAAACACAGAAGGGTATTCATGTACTGAGACTCAAATGACTGCTGACATTATCACCAAAAAGGTCATCAGACAGTATGTGTTTCTTGATGGTAAAACCTAGCACACCTATTAGTATTCTTGCAAAACAACAAGCTTGAATCTCAATTCATTAGTTAGGTCCAGAGGATTAAGTCGTATTATAGGAAACTGTGGAATCAAAATAACATGTTAAATGATTCCAACAGGTTATAATAAACAAAATCCAGATGCTCCACAGGATAAAAGACATAGTTTTTATAACAAATAAGTCATGAAAAGAGACATGAAGGGGGCAATTAATGTTAAAGAATTACTTAAAATTATTTATTTGGCTTTTGACTCTGACTGTTAAAAAGATGAGATGACTATTTAGACTATTTAAAAATCTGATGATAAAGAAACCGTTAAATCTCTTAGGTATGATAATGATGCACTGGTTACTTTTAAAAAGAAATTGTCCTTTTAGAAATACCTAGTAAAATATTTATGGATGCATAAATATCTGGGAATCACTGGAATCAATCTGGGGGGAAAGGTAAAGGTTCATTATACTAACCTACTTTGAATATTCCCTAAATAGCTTTTAAAAATGACAAAATAGAAAAAAAATATTTTAAAAAGAGTACAAGAACAAAGTTAAATCTAGACTGGGTCTTTGTTCTATAGTCCAGGGGTTGGCAAACTTTACAAAAACAGAGGGCGACGCAGCGCGAGGGCGACGCAGCGCGAGGGCGACGCAGCGCGAGGGCGACGCAGCGCGAGGGCGACGCAGC